CGGTTGGCAGCAGACCATAGATCCAAACAAATAATATCATATATGGAAAACATATAACATTTAGCACACAAAAGCATTTTAGGAAACTTTCCTAAAATGTACTAGTGCTTGTGTCTTAAAATATGGTAGAGACTCATCTCACAATAATTGTTTAGCATTCTAAGTTTAAGTCTAGAAATCCTACAAATTCCTAGTTCGCTTAAACTAATGCTCTGATACCAATTGTGACATCCCCAATTTCACGGCCAGAAAAAACCGATTTGTTTATGCTTTGTTTCATAAATCAGAGTAATCGTTTAAAGAAAATGGTTGCGGAATTTGTTCCCAAAACAAGATAAGATAATGATTATCAAAACATTTCTCGAAGAGAATGTATTTTATTTAATAATAAAACCTTAGGATGTCATGTTCCGATATAGACCAAAAGCATAAACAATATAAAATATACCTTACAACAGTTATTTATAACTACTAATCTATAATCCAAAATCTCTCGTCAAGTGCATCAACTTATACCCTTGTGCCATTACCTGTAATGCAAAGAAAACTGAGTGGGTCATGCTTAGGGAGCATGGTGAGCATATAGGGTTTTCAACCCATAATAATATATTTATTATATTCAATTATCAAACAATCAATTCAAATACCCATCCCCATTATCCTCTTTATTTCTTAAGGTTTTACCCTAAGAATCAACTATCCTTTATCCATTCGTTCCTAAGGATTTACCTAAGGAATCGGCACGAAGTCCATTGCTGCCAAAGTTTATCTATGAGGTACTAAATCCATAGCTATCAGGCGCTAACTCCATAGTCACCAAGGTTCACTCAACAAGCGCTAACTCCATAGTCGCCAAGGTTTACTCAACATGCGTTAACTCCATAGTCGCCAAGGTTTACTTTAACAGGCGCTAACTCCATAGTCACCAAGGTTTATACTATAGGTTCTAACTCCATAGTCACCAAGGTTTATACAATAGGCGCTAACTCCATAGTCACCAAGGTTTATACAATAGGCACTAACTCCATAGTCACCAAGGTTTATAAAATAGGCACTACGTCTCATAGTTGCCACTATTTCATCTATTCATGTTCTACCTAACATATTTTGTAGATATAAAATACATATATAGTTTGAATCATTTAACACCCGTATAAAAACGGCAATTCCAAGCCCATCTCAAATAGACAAATAATACATAACACATAGCACGTATTTCGTAGCTAATACTTTATATTTATGTGTTAGAAGAAAGTAATCACACACTCACTTGATTAGACGATGCTCGGACAGCACTACAACTCTTCAAGTGGAACTCTTCGGTGAAACCGGGATATCTTCACACACCGGGTTTCTCACGGACAGAGCTTCGACTCGGAAACTCTTTTCTTCTCGAGATCTTCGGGCTTCGGGACTCACTTCAGGTCTCGGGATGTTATCAGGGCTTCGGGGGGTTAAAATAGGGCTTAGAGGGTGTATCGGGAGTGGGAGAGAAGGGATGGAGCAACCATAATCGGCTGTCCCTTCAAATCTATTTATAGGGCAAAATTTGCCATTGCCATGTCGTGGCACATTTTTCCACGTTGTGGGCTTGGTCGTCACTGCATGCGTTATCGCAAGTTGTGTCTAGGGGACTCCCATAGGTGACAGAAGACTTGCCACGTAGTGGTATCTGATAGTTTTGGGGTTTCACGCCCCGAACTTCAGAAATTCATAACTTTCGCATACGAACTCCGTTTTTTATGATCTTTATATCGACGCGTAGGTGAGATTATGATCTACAACTCTCGTTTAGACTCCATTGGCTAATTTTGAATTTAATTGTAATATATTATAAATATATTACTTATTATATAATTTTTAGTAGGCTGGGACAGGAAAACTTCGTTCGAAATTCATAACTCCTTCATCTGAACTCCGTTTTTGTCTGTATTTTTATCGTTGGACTAATATCAAAGAGATCTTCGACTCTCATTTAGATTGTTTTGGCTAAAAAGCACTCGATCTCATATTCGAGTATTCAGGCTGCATACCGCTAAGTCGAAACTTTAGAAAATCATAACTTCCTCATACGAAGTCATATTTAGGTGTTCTTTTTACGCACGCTCTCGGTTTAACATATTCTATGACATTTGTTTAGATCACTAAGGCTAGATATTTCTCTAACGTAAATTCACTTTTTACGTCATTCAGCGTTGTGCCGGTTCTGTTGCGAAACTTCGATAAGTCAGAACTTCTTCGTTATAACTCGAATTTCGGCGTTCTTTATATGTACGGAATCCTTGTAACATGTACTAAAACTTAGTTAAGATTATTCATTCTAAATAATCTTCTATAAAAAAAAGCCATTTCTGACGCTTATCGTCTCTAAATTGATTAGCCCTGATCTATGGGCGTTACAAAAACTGTCGGGTCTTGGTAGAAGGCTACTTTTAAAATAGTCGGGTCTTGGTAGAAGACTACTTTCAAAACAGTCGGGTCTTGGTAGAAGACTACTTTTTATACTAGTAGGAAATATGTGATTTTCTAGGGTTGTCAAACGCTTACAATTACTTACAAACATGTTCATTGATACAAACTTTTCTTCAAACATTTACAAGTCTTTCTTTACAGTTTTACAAATCAAAGACACATTAATACTTATGAATTCACCAGCTTTATTGCTGATACTCGCTTTCAAAATAACTTGTATTCTCAGGTCACAATTAGACAGGTACGACGATGAGGTTTTGTGAAGACGGAGCGGTCAAGACTCGTCTTTTATTTTGAACATTTATTATGTTGTTATGATATGAAAGAACACACATGTATTTAAAATTATACTATTAATGCAATGGATGATGTTGTTGCTTGTTTACTACTTTACATTGTTGTGATACTTTACATGACGTCCTCTGCCCCAAAACGTTTCCTCCGTTCTTGGTTTTGGGGTGTGACATCTTCCCACAGAATTGGTGAAGAATAACTGTTTTCTGAAGAATGATGAATGATATTCAGTTGAAGATAGTGCACTTCTTTGAGTTTGGTTGCTATACGTAGCATTGCGATTCTCTACTATGCAATGTAAAAGAAAAAGTTATAGAACTTTCGGAGCTATACAAATAAGATATCAAGAAACAAAGTGTAACTCTTTTCATAGTAATAACTATAGATCAATCACTATTTGACTATTTCCCAATTGAAAAGTTTCATGTTTGACATTGACAATCAAAATGCAGCTCTCACTGTTGCTACATAGAGAGAAAAAGACATTTCGAAGTTGGATTTGAGTATACTTTAACCTAAAAGCAACACGTGTCTTACACAAGACTGATCAATCTTCTTACTGGCATTTCTTCGAACAATTGGAATGCATGATATGTATGCAACATTGGTTATTAGGCAGAAAAGAATTGAAACATCTCAAATTCACGCAATTAAAAAGACTAATTACAACCGTACAGATCTTTACTCAACAACATACTTTTGATAGATCCACCTAAGCAACTTGCAAGAAAATGTAAATTTGAAACAAACAGAGTAGTCGTTACCCCTTGAAAATGGTAATAATCAAATCATGTACCTATATTCTGTTGTTATACATGAGAGCCAATCACAGGAGCTCATAAACGGAGAAACAAGAAAATGGTGGCTGGAATGAGATGTCGGAGCTTCTTCGCTTGGTGAGAGAGACTCAAGGTGTACGATGTCGTTACCCCTTGAAGTTGGAGGATTCAAGTTGGTTTAAGTGTGCACTCGATATAAGTAGGCTGATCTCAGGGATGACCTAATTTGCTAACAGAGGGATTAAACTGAAATTAGGGATGAGAGGAGAGGAAATCGATGGTGGTCGGTTGGTAGAGGAACAACATTGAAGTTGCCGATTGAGGTGAGGCTATAGGTTTTTTCGGCTGGTCGTTTGACGATAAAGAGGGGAGAAACTAAGTTTTAGGAAGTTAATGAATTACCATAATTAAACATGCAAAGATTACTATAATACCTTTACATAATTTATTTATAGATTTATTATTTCCTCAATTCTTATTGGTGCATAAATGCACACAATAGTTGCTAGAAACATTTGAATCTAACCTCTCTCTCTCTCTCTCTCTCTCTCTATATATATATATATATATATATATATATATATATATATATATATATATATATATATATATATATATATATATATATATATATATATATATATATATAGACACGCCCACAAAGCAAGACTTTATAAAAAAACCAACAAAATTACAAACTATTTTACAATAGTTCGGGGGTTAATAAAATATTTAGTACTACTAGTTTTGTGGGTAAACTAATGACAGCATAAGAATAGACAAACTTTGGGTCACATTTCCGGTTAGAATATATATACTTCATTGACACCAGAATCATCTTTACCATGAAATTTGATGTTTTATCCTTAATACATTATTATGGTCCTAGCATGATAAAAACATCACGTGAACTTAAAAAAGATCTAGACAAAATCAAGGACAAACGTTGAAACAAAATCCTTCTTCAAAGGGTTTGACACAAAAGCCGTCTTTTATTTCTATCACAAAATTATAATAAGCATAATTTAATTGTTTAAAAATTGCAATACATACTTTTTTGACTTTTAAATCTAACCTTTTTATGTAAGGGTTGTAAACTCTATTCTAGTCACTTTCGTTGATCAGAAGATCTGTATTTTTCTGGTGTATAAGAAAGAAAACAACAGTTCAGCAATCATTTGAATTAGTTTGAACAAAAATATTATAAAGAAAATGGTTCCAAAAACACACGAGTTTTGTTTTAACTGCGTACAAGGGACATGTAAAGGCATTGAATACCACCGAAAAAGCAAAGTGGTCAAACACACGTGAATTTCTTCAACCTTAAATTCAGGATTCTCGTTGACATCCACTATGTCCTCAAATCCCCTTTTTCAGGCCACACTTTCTCCCACTACGTAATAGTGTAATAGCCTTATCATTCACTACCTCACTTTTACTACTTTCAATCAAAGAATGGACTTGTTTTCCCTCCCTTCCTTCTACCTCAGCGCACCCACAAGTCCTATTGGTTGCAGCCCACAAAACCTCAAATTCTATAGCACAAGGACGAGCCCATTACGCCAGATCAATAACCAGGAGAACAGTGATGAGGAGTTTGATTTCGGGACTAGTATGAGATTAACTAATGGATTTGACCAGGAGCACGAGTATAGGCTACCAGCTCGAGCTAATTCGTTTTCAACAATGGCGTTTGCAGATGAACTCTTCTGTAATGGTCAAGTTTTGCCATTGAAACTTCCTCCACGGCTCCAGCGATCAGTTCCTACGTCACCAAGGTCACTGAGCTCACGCATCAAGAACCCATTTGTACAGCAGTGCACATGGAATGATGATTTTGATCCTTTCATGATTGCATTGGAGAAGGTGAGTGATGAAACACGTGGAAGGATGAGCATCCATAGGCGGTCTCGCTCATATTCACCTTTTAGTGCCCGTGCTATTTCACACACTGGAAACTGGAAACAAGAGCAGCCGCAACACAAAAATCTCGTTAGAGATTTGGAAGCAAAGGAACCAATCGTAACCATGGAGCGCAAAGGTTCGATGTACTCAAGATGGGTAAGAAGTCAAACAATGATAAAAAATCAAAGCCCAAAAGCCCGAACCATGATAAAAAAGCTGGGCAGACGGGTGAGAGATGCCAATTTTAGCCAGAAGGAATTCTTGAAGCCGATGAAGAAGCCTAATGAACCGGCGTCATGTACAGAATCAAAGATGCAGAAAGTGAAGTCAGTTTTGCTCAGGTATGCATCTGTAAAGAAGGAAACTCCGGAACTCAATCAAAAAAGAGAAATAGTAACCATGTCGAAAATAAGTTACTTCAAGCGATTTAGCCTTTCATTCAAGACAAATCTCAGGAAAAAGGAATTGATAGAATCCAAAATAGCTGTTGCAAAACATGACAAAAAACCTCCACGATGCTTTGGTTATGCTCCTCAAGTTCCAACGATAAAGCAAGAACTATGAATTTCATAGTTTACTTGCAAGTATGTCTACAAACTAGAGTTCGTTAATAGGCAAAAAAGAGGCGGAGTTGCACGGCACTCCCTCGGCAGATATGTGGTGCACACCGCCCCCCAACCTCGGCATGCAGGTGAAAGGCCCGGTTCGGCACTCCTCGAAGTCTTTGTGCTTTTTGACTCTTGAAAATGTTCAATCAAACGGCTATATTTTTATTTTATTTTCTAATATTTTTTCAATTCAAAAACTGTATAAGTACTATCCTTAAACACCATTTTATACCACACCAATCTCTCTCTCTCTCTCTCTCTATATATATATATATATAATATATATATATATATATATATATATATATATATATATATATATATATATATATATATATATATATATATATATATATGATCCTTGTGGTTTACAAAAAACTTTGGATATGGTTCAAAACCATTTCGACATGCATGAATGGTCCAAAATTAGAAACTTTTCGTGATTTTAGTCCTAAAAAGGTTAAAATGACTATTTTGCCCTTATTATTTATGTTTTACATTTTTCTAATTTGTTTTGGTATTTAAATAATCATAAAAAAAATAAAAATAAATAAATTATCACCCTCTTTAATTATTATGAAAAAAGAAAAAATAAAATCAACTACTCTCTCTCTCTCTCTCTCTCTCTCTCTCTCTCTCTCTCTCTCTCTCCAAACGACACCAACCAGGCAACTAACCCCATCCTAATTTCACTTATTCACCACCACCACCACCACACCCATCCATCTCTACCACCCTCATTTTCATCTTTTCCGGTGGCCTACCCCCACCGTCGACATTGCTGCCTACACCATCCTTCCTATCGACCCATCTCCGGCCATAACTTCAGATTAATGAGCATGAACTTTATCTGGGTTCTTTAAGTTCATCTTCTTCCTCTACCTACATCTTCGTCTTCCTCTACCTACATCTTCGTCTTCCTCTAGCTGTAAGTCCGACGACCTCCTTATCAGAGATGCATCTCTAAGTAGAACAGGTTTGATGACCTTCTTATCACCGTCGACCCTAGCAATTCCAACATCCAATTTGGGGGTTTTATGCACAATCAATAACAAACATGGCTGCAGGTACAAAATTTCTTTGGCTTATGCAATGCTAGAAGGTGGATTCAACAAATATATCATGTCTATTGGAGAATACGAGATTTTACAAAATTTAGATCGATTGAATGGAGAAAGAAGAAGCAATGATGCTATTGATTCTTATTTGGGGTATCGAAAATGGTGTTGGTTGATTTCTTGCTAACCTCCATTCATCCACACCGATGTTTGTACATGAATTCCCTCTAGATGAGTTTTGTTGATGCTAGTGTTCTTATCAGTAAAGATGGGTGAGTCTTGATTTTAGCCCTATTGCAAAACAATATGATACACTTTGTAAGAAATCACCAAGAGGGTTAGCGAAGTACTAATTCTGGAAGAGAATTGAGTCGACGAGGTAGCATTTTCACATGAATTGGTCATCATAAGAAAATCTCCATAGTGATGATGAGTCTTCATTGTAGATCGATGTTGAAGAAGTTGTCGACAATAAAATTGGAACTCTTCCATGGAATCCTGCAGAAGCAGGCGACATTTGTGTGTGTGTGTGTGAGAGAGTGAGAAAGAGAGGGAGAGAGAGAGAGAGAGATAGAGAAAGAGTGAAAATGGATTAATATAAATATACACAAAGGTAAAGGACAATAAATTAAAAAAGAATCATTAGAAGGGCATATAAGTCATTTTAGGTTGTATGTGGACCAAATTTAAAGATAATAGTGTTTGAGAGGACCAAATCCAAAGAAAGTTTCTAATTTTGGACCATCTATGCAAGTCGAAAAGATTTTGGATCCCATCCAAAGTTTGTCACACACCGTAAGGACCAAATTTGCAGTTTAGTCTATATATATATATATATATATATATATATATATATATATATATATATATATATATATATATATATATATATATATAATTGATTTTAATGTGGAATCAGTCATTTTGAATGCCAATTTTCAGATTTAGACTTTCTTTAGATTGTACAAGCTATATTGTTTTAAGTTTCTAAGTTTTTAATTTTTTAAGATTTTAAATTTATAATTTATTGTTATCTATTTGTTATTTTAATGAAAAATGTTTAAAAGAATTACTAAAATTTTTTATGAAAAAATGTGGCAAAACACCGGAGATGGTGAAGGTGACATAGTTTGTGTAACACCATGAAAATTTACAACCAATTTAAACTTTTCAAAAACAACCCATATTTATTAAGTTATTACAAAAAGGTTTTCAGTTCATTTATTATCAGAGTATCCCAGAAACATCAACATAAAACTGAGGGGCGATACAATCATGTCTTCGCCTTGTCACTATCTCCTGAAGTACCTAAAACAATACACTGAAACTGTAAGCCCGAAAGCTTAGTGAGTTACCCCCAAAATACCAACCACAAAACCATACACATATCATATCATATCACAAACAAAACAACCATGCATAACGAGTCTACAGTGTGACTGGTCTGCCTGCACCAGACCTTCAGTCCACCCGATCCACTCTCTCTCTCCGAGTCTACAGTATGACTGGTCCGCTCACGCCGGGCCTTCAGTACACCTGGTCCACTCTTTGAGTCTACAGTATGACTGGTCCGCCCGCACCGGGCCTTCAGTCTGTCTAGTCCACTCTCCAAGCCTCGGCACGTCTGGTCCGCCCTCTTGGGGCCTTCAGCCTATCCAAACTGCTCGCTAGGCCTTCGGTCTAACAGGACCCGCCTCAACCCAGCCTCAGTCCAAACAACCATGTGCACATAAACTAATAATCATATAACAATTCACATCTAATCAAACCGATCTAGCAGATCACATATCATAGCAACATCCTAACCAGGATACCGACCTAACCGGTCACTAACATAGTATCATCCTATATACCAGGATACCGACCTTAACCAGGTCTCTAACATAGCATCATCATATATACCAGGATACAGACATAACAAGCAATAACATATCAAACAGATACCTGGATTTCAATCCGATAAAGGGCCGGCCTTGGTGCCTTAGACCCTATCGATATAGTGAGGATAACTCACCTGCAACTGCCGACTTGAAGAAATAAGACCACGCTGCTTCGACCACCAGCACGAACTCCACCACTGATCATTACCAAATAACCAAAACCAATGTACACCAATAATTACCAAAATACCCTTCGAAGTCAAATTGGTCAACCCTTGGTCCAAGTCAAAGTCCTCAGTCAAAGTTAACCTTCCTGGTCGACCCTACTCGCCGAGTCAACCCGTTGACTCGTCGAGTTCCTATGCTCATAAACTCTCATGCCACGACTCAAATCGATGAGTCTCCCCAAGACGCGTCGAGTCCAACAAACTCTGAGTCCCTTCCTGCTCAACTCACCGAGTCATCCCTCGACTCACCGATTCACAGCTCAACCAGAAAAGGTTATGACTTCACGACCAGACTCACCGAGTCCAAGAACAGACTCACCGAGTCCAAGGCAATCTTCAACAGACTCGCCAAGTTGTTCTTCCAACTCGCCGAGGCCATGCACATAATCATACAACTCATCGAGCACACCCATGTGACTCGCAGAGTCTCTTCAGTTCTCATTCCATATAGAGGCATTTCAAGCCATGCAGGGACTCCAATCCATAGATCCACTCTTCTACAGCCTAAACCTCACATAAAGTTGCAAACTTTACGTGAAACCAAGGAGTTAAATGTCCAAATCACTCTAGGGCTAAGGGTTAAGACAAAGAATCTTCACCAACAACTCAATGACTGATGATTTATGACATTCTAGATCATCACAAGTCTAGATCTCGAGTAGCAACCTCAGATCAAATCTCCAAAACTGAAATAGATCTTAAACATACCAAAATGGCCCTAAATCTTATCCATGAATAGATCTAGATGAAAAAGAGTGAAGGTAACAGCTTATTACCTCCAAAATGTGCCCAAACTGAAGTAGATTTTGGATCCACACCTCTCTCTTGATGCAAGCCTTTTTGATCTTAAGGTTTCTTCTACTAGAATTAACTTCCAAAGCTTCAATATCCCTCCAAGGCCTCACACACACGAGATGAGGGTTTCTGGATCTCAAATGGGTAGAAAAGAGGCTGAAGGTGGGTTATAATGTGCTTTATATAGGGCACAACCCCCGAATTAGGGTTTTCTCCCTTCAGCGCTAACTCACCGAGTCCAGCCGCCGAGTTGGTCACTTAACACGTGACCAGAACCGCAACTCGACTCATCGAGTCTACCCATTGACTCGCCGAGTCAACCTTCCTTATTTACTCCAAGAACCCTGAACTTGCACTTCCGAACTCGGGGTGTTACAGTTTGAGAGGATGGTGGCAAAGGTGCGGTGGTATTGGAAAACAAATCGTCATGTAAGCATGGAATGCATAGTTGGGAAGACGAGCTGGAAGTTGATGATGAAGGTGTTGGTTGGGTGGCAATGTTGTTGATGGCAACAACTGTCATCAGAGTAGCAACTTAGAAGTAAAGTAAGCTCACTTGTAGAAGATGTATCACTTGCATACGAAAATGAATTTTCATCAAACTTGGCATGGCGAGTGATGAAAATTTTAGAAGTGATAGGATCCACGCATTTGTAGCCTTTGTACTGACTGCAATAACCAAGAAATAAGCATTGCAATGCGTTGTGGTGCAAGTTTGTGCTCCGAATTGGGTCGTAAATAAGGAAAAACCCAACATCCAAAGACTTTAAAGTTGTTGTAATCAGGAACAACTTTATAAAAGAATTTGGAATTGTGATTGATGCAGTAGTAATTTGGACGGCAGACAGTTTATGACATAAGTTGCAGAATAGAATGCATCCAGCAAGAGATTTGCAGGAGCATTGGTACCAAACAACAAGGCAAGTCCGGTTTCGGTGAGATAACGATGCTTTCGTTCAACACAACCATTTGATGGGGAATATAAGGACACCACAT